CATCGCGGAGCCGCCTGGCGTCACGCGGCCCTTCCCGCCGCCGCCCGGACGCCGGTTCGTCAGGCTTTGCAGAGCCCGCCGGGCTGCCCGGGGCGCAGGACGGGTCGGCGATTCGCAGGGCGCCTCCAGCTACAGAGCAGCTCCCAACTCCCAGGCAGAAGCGAGGCCTTTGCCAAGCAAGGGGACACCTCCGTGGGTCCCGTCTGCCCCTCTGCTCGCAAGGCCCCAGCACGCAGCCCTTCAGGCAACGCGCACGTTTAGCTCCGCACCGCGCGCTGTGGCAAACGCGGCCACGCTCCAGACCAGCGTGGCACTGAGCAATCGGACAGGCAGCGCAGCTATTTGCTCCCGGGAATTAATGGAGCAGAGGGAGGATGCACGCAGGGCCCGGTGAGACCCAGCCAGAGTGACGCTATGACACACAAAGTGACAATGCACGGAGAGGGCACGAAGCTTCCTCGTCCCCTGCTTTAGCCCCAGCTCTGGCAGCCCCCGGGGGGACCCCCCGCCGTGGCGTACCGCAGACAGACGGGCCGGACGGGATCCATATGCTGCTCCCTTCATGGCCACTTACGGCCTCCGCTAGCCAAAAGCGCCAGTGGATTCTGCTGCAGCAGGAGGGGCTCGACGGTTTATAATCCAGGCTGTGCTTTACACATCATCTTCCTCCCCCGGTCCCTTCCGGGCGCTCCCTTTCCTACCAAAAGGATGGAAACGATCCCAAAATAGCACAGCCTTTAATAGGCAGCCCACAAGCTCACCTGAGAAGAGGTGACCTCGTTTAGCTCCAGCCGCCCCGCTGCTTCTCACCATGGCTGCCCGGGCCCGCAGCAGAAGGTACCGAACACCTTCAAGGGCACCGGGGCAGCCTGTCCTCCTGCCTTTCCCTGTGCTTTTCCAGGGATGCTCAGCCCTTCGGAGCCCCGGCCGAGTGTGGAGTAACAAGGTCACAACACCCGGAAAGGCAGTGGAGGCCACTTCCCACCACCCTCTCCCAAGGCACAAGAGCAGGAATAGGAGCTAGCAATGGATTTGCACCTTGGCGCCTTCCTCCCAAACAGGAGGACAACCAGCGCATTTGGAGGCCTTCGCGGCCTTTATGTTTAGGAGCAAAACGCAGAGCTCCCTGCGCAGGGGGAGCTCAGTGCTGCCGACCCAACGAGCCCCCACAGCTGACACCAGCTGCTCTCGGAAAGACGCTGAAATCTCTGGAGCCTCCTCCGCGTCTCGAGCCGATTCCTCACGCCCCCCCCATGACGCCGCCGGGATCTTCTCCCTGCGCGGCTGGAGGCTCCGTCCACCTCGAAGCACGGGCGTCACGAGGTGGCCTAGAGCTCGCCCTGCGCGGGCCACTGCAGAGGGTCTCACGAGGGAACCGCACCGCGACACAAAGGAAACGCTGCAGTCTGTACCCCGCCAGACCTGTGGCGCCTCTGCACTAAACCCTCGCGTTTCACCCGGCCAAGGGGAGCTTGGAGACCCCACTTGCGCCGCCTGGTCCGTCCAAACAAAGCCCATGCATCAGCCAGGCAGCCACCAGCCCCAGGCGCCTCGGAGCCTGCGGGGACGTGGACAAATAAAAGCCCTTCCGTGCAGGAAGCAAAAAATAAATACCCTCATGCACAAAAATCACAGCACTTGCAGCGGAAACCGTGCCGTGCTGCTCGCCCCGAGCAGGGATTAGCCTGCCAAGGGGCTTTTTATTTAGATATGGAGCGAGTGCAAAAGGGAGAAGAAAAAAGGAAAATAAATCAGGGTGTTGCTTATCAGGCAGGCTGCAGCGTCAGAGCGCGCCGAGGTCG